CCAAATATTTTGTTGCATCATAGATTATTGAGTTTCTCACAAGTCTGCACTAAAATCTCAATTTTGAAAAAAATGGACTTAGGCAATTTTCATATGATGCCGACGATATTACGGTATTTCTCGCTTGCTATATGTCCGTTGATGTCAGTGTAGCCTTCCTGCTCCATTTTATCAGCAATTTTGTTCCAAAGTTTGTTCCTTGTGCCGTTGGAGTTATTGAATTCATGTTCCATTTCGAATCTTAGTGTTAATAATAAGTTGATCGCCTGTTTTGTCCAAATTAACTTGATCTTCGATGTCGATGCTGATGCATTATCAGACCTAGAATTATTTGGCTGCAAAGACTGGGTATCTCCTTCGTTAGGGTCACACAATTCATCAGAATTAGACTGCATGTCTACTGCTACGGCTCCTTTATACTTCTCAAAATTGGCTTTGTAACTTTGTTCTGCATACTGGTTGAGTAGATTTTTATCTAAAAATAAAAATAGAATAAACGAAATTTTGCTTTTCATATTCCAAAACACGATAGAAATATATTTTTTTTAAATCTCCATTCTGTGCAAACTTCTTATGTCCAAATAGTTTTCAGAAAATAACTGGAACATTGCTCACTTTCATCCTCGAAAGGCATTATTTCCGGGTTTTTACAAAAAAATTTTTTTATTCTTACTTGAAGTTAATATACCATATAGTGTGGGACTAATAAAACTAGTAAATTGTAATTCTCCATATTTGAGATTTATGGGCAACAGTTTTATTCATACCTCACAACACCACATAACCTTCAAACTTCAAAAATTCAGTTGACAACTTAGTTGTTCACCAGAACAACCGACTTATAAATTTATAGATTGGTGGAACAACCGGTTGTACATGATGTTGATTTAGCAACAGTACACGATTCACCAATAGCAAACCTTTAATTTAACAACACTGCTTTTTCCACCATTCCACCTGTTACGGGATGATTTTTCCTGGGCCAAAATAAAAGGAAATAAGCGTATTCGCCTCACTGAATAGCATACTTTCGTCGAGCCACTGTTTTCTTTCCAATGGTTGTGGCCACACTTTTCATCAATCAAAAGTAATGGAATTAATTTCCTTTTAGTAGGGTTGAAATAAATAGTCAATTAATTTATTAATAAATAAAATCAACACAATATTTATATTGAAACAGCTAATTGTCCGATCCGATTAGATTGACTAGATTGACAGCGCTCCAAATAAGGTCAATGACCGGTACTAACTTAATTTAAATAAGTCCCATGCCCCAACTACCATCAAAATTCCCCAGGACCTTGCACCTTTGAGTTTTGACAGAACCTTTTTAAAGGACATTGCAGGGACAAGCAGAGGTCATTCAGGTCGAGGACTTTCCACGATTAAGTATTCGGGAAAATTCCTCAGGCACATTTTGCCGATTTTCTGAGTTGTCCAGTTTTCGCTCATAAATTTAGGGTGGCTAATCCGTTATTTAAGCACCAAAGCGCCTTGCGCGGATTTCTTTGTGAGCCGAAAAACAGCAACATATCATTTGTTTGTTCCTAAAGGCCAAAATATTTTGGTAAGTGGTTTTTCTCATTTGTTTTCTCTGTGTGTCTCTATTTCCTATGTAAAAGCATAGTTTTTTTGTTAATTGTATGGTTAAATTCCGAATATTGGACATACCTACCTATCGCTCCACGCCCAGTCTCATAAAGTCCATTTGTTTCAGGCCTTTAGATGTCACCTTCTTTATTCGTCACGCTTTAGTCCTTAACTTGAGTAGATAACCGTTATGCTTACTGTATATTTCAAGTCGTACCTCCTATCTTTAGCCTCGTCTAGACAATTGGAATCTATAGTGACTCCTAGTTACTGAACTTCAGTGCCCAGGGCCAATTGCTTCTTGTTACGGCCCTGATCCAGTCCCAGGACACCGGAAACACTGAAAGATATCAATCCAATCCTTCAGGTTCCCCTCAAGAGTTTAGGGACTACTCAGGTTTGATAAGTGTGTTGTATTGTCTTAATATCTGGAGCCTAATAAACCTTACCAAACCCTTGTTGGAGTAAATCACCACAACGACGCAGTTCTACTACAATATTAAATTATCCTTCAGATTATGTGTTTTTATTTCAATTTTAATTAATTATCTATATTACTTTTATCATATGAAACTTGCCATTCAGGTTATGTATTGTTGGGTACTTCAATTTTAATTATTTATCTATACTACCTATTTTATCCCATAATACTAAATTTGCCCCTCAGGCTATGTATTGTTACTTCAACTTTAATTAATAATCTATATTTCTCTAATATCCCATAAATACATGCTACACTGAATACAGGAAAATACTTGTATACTGGGGTTAAATGGCTATTTACGAAGGTACTGCATTTAGTAAGCTTGTTTTAGTTATTTATGTATCAAGGGAATTATGAGGGTGTCAATACCCCAGGGCAAAGTTTGTGTCCCGAGGGCCTTTGGCCCGAGGGGTGTCTTGCCCGTGGGTATTAAAATCTGATAATTTCCGTGGTACATGGATAATTTTATTTCCTACTGAATTTATTGTATTTTGTCCATTTTTATAAAGGAATAAACCATAAACCAAAATTCCTATTTTTTCTCAAAGTTTTACCTATTCAAGGTAAAACCGGGAGTTATAGAAATCGTTAACTCCCTTGGGAGCTATGATATCCGTAACTCCCTCGGGAGTTATGATATCCTTAACTCCCGCGCGGGAGTTATGAAATCCTTAACTACCTTGGGAGTTAAGACCCTGTTTATGATTATCGTAACCAAGGTATTATATGGTTATAATAGTTCAGTAGGAAATAAAATAATTTATATCCTACTGAACTATTAAAACCATATAATACCTTGGTTACGATAATCATAAACAGGGTCTTAACTCCCAAGGGAGTTAAGGATTTTCATAACTCCCAAGGGAGTTAAGGAAGGGAGTTAAGGATATCATAACTCCCAAGGGAGTTAAGGATTTCCATAACTCCCGCTTTTACCTTGAATAGGTAACAATTTGACAAAAAATAGAAATTTTGATTTATGGCTTATTCCTTTATAAAAATAGACAGAATACAGTAAATTCAGTAGGATATAAAATTATCTATGTACCACGGGAATTATCAGGAGTTAATACCCACGGGCAATTGGTGTCCCTCGGGCCGGAGGCCCTCGGGACACAAACGTTGCCCTGGGGTATTAACACCTGCGTAATTCCCTTGATACATAAATAACTATTACATCTCAGGTATTATACTGTTATAAGAGTTATACAATACTCTTTATTTCTTTATTTAGGGACTCAAGTTGAGTTAATTTATTGTAAATATTATCTTTAGAACATAAGGTTAGGTACTCCTAGTCGATTTATTTTGTTCTTGTTCTGGTTCTAGTGTTAATAATTTTCAGTGTTCCAGGGCGTTCGGAAAACCCACTCCGCACCTACTCTAGAGTCAAATCTGTTCTGATTCTAATTAAAAACCCGTACCTGATTGTAGCAAAGCGTTTCACTTTTGTCCTTCCTTCTTGTGTGTTTACTTTTATATTTCAGGTTGTGCTGCTATAGGTCCGTAGAAGTTTCCTGCTTTCGATATATCGGTTGACTTCGTGTACTGCAGGAAAAAGCAGGTGGCACTCTATATTTAATTATTTAATTGATCCACACCCCTCTCCGCATTGGAAGCTAGTCGGCAACCCTTCACACGAAGTCCCGTTTCTAGATTTTAGCCACCGACCACCCCTATCCTTCTATTTTCTTTTTGTTTTAGTTACCCATTCACTGTCTCACTTCAGTCACTCCCTCAAATTTAATTATTTACTCTTCCATCGTGGTTTGACGGGTAACACACCACGGTGCCTACACCAGCTGAATTTAGCAACACGCGGAATGTGGCTTATGGCCGTTTGCACCGACCATTTAGGGGAGGCTTAACGATAAGTGTTCCTTAAAGTGACATTTTTACATGTAAAAATATCATTTTAAGGTATCCAAACGGCCATTAATTTATTAATTTCCCACCAGTCATGAACAGAAAAATTTAAATAATTTACGTTCTGAATTTAAACGACTAATGGCCGTTTGCACCGACTATTTTAAGGGAGGCTTAACGATAAGGATACCTTAAAATGACATTTTTACATGTAAAAATGTCACTTTGAGGAACACTTCGTTCAGCTTCCCTTAAAATGGTCGGTGCAAGCGGCCATAAGCAATGATAATCCAAATATGGGAAAAAAAATTATGGGGTGCTATTTGAAAAAAAAGTAGGAGCCGATTACTACGGAATGATTTTGGGTTGGGGTAGTTTTGAATTATTCGAGAAAGGGCTGTGCATATCATTTACAAAGTTTCTGGACCATCATTTTTATGTCTTAAAATTAGGGAGTTCTAGCTTGTGTTAAATATGGAGCACGGGGTACCCGGTATATGTTAGATAAATCCATTTTATATTCTATTATCGGGTCAATTCTGGGTACATCTTTAAGGAAATCTATAACTTCCTATAACTTTTATTATTATTTCTATTTCTATAATAAATTTATAACTTTCTGAAAATATACGTCTTTACAGTTTTCAGAATTTTTGCCAGTCTACTTATTAAACCAAACATTTGATAACATTAATTCATCTATGCATTTCGTAGGGTGCGGTAATCAATCTGCTGATGAGACTTTCTGACTTTGTGATGATTTTCCTATATTGTGGTGATAGCATATTAAACAAATTTAATAACAATCCCTAATTCCAGGTTAATAACATTAATATTTTCCGAAGGTATTAATCCCAATGAACTAAGAGGTTCCCGTACTGGTGTTTTTGTGGGCGTATTGGAATCAGAATCTCTAGAGTATTGGACATCCCATGGCATGGAAAATATCAACGGCTATGAAATTATTGGCTGCGCAAGGGCCATGTTCCCTAATCGCATATCATACACATTTGACTTTATTGGGCCGAGTTATGCCGTGGATTCGGCATGTGCCAGCTCAATGGCAGCCTTTCAACATGCTTTCCATGCTATAAAAACTGGACTTTGCGATTCTGCTATTGTCGCGGGATCCCATTTACTTCTGTCTCCCACTTTATCAGTTCAGTTAGACAGGTAAGTTTGAATCAGATATTTTGTAAAATTATAACTACTTTTAATGCCACTAATTAATAACAAGTTTACCTAGAATCTTTTAACTTGCTTTTTAACTAAACATAATGCAATTGAGAATAAAGGCAGGCATCAGGTATTAAGGGACAATTAAAATTCAACAGCTCGGAAAGCTCTGTTGGTAGATCGTGGTACTGGATACTTGTATCATAGTATGAAATTCGGTGGTAAAATCAGTCCTGATTTCCTGATATACTTCTGAGTGCGTCAGTTCCTAAGAAGTAGTACAAAATCACAATTTGGTATCTTACGATACTGAACAGTCAATGATGATATTGAAAATCTTAAAATACAAATTCTTGAATACTGCTTAACTTTTTTGATAAACTGAATCAAACCTGACTAAGAAAATAAGGGATCCTGTTATATCAAGGCAACTTCACCATTAATTTGCAGTTATGAACATACATAAATCTCATTCTCTCTGGTCTTATTTCAGATTAGGTGTTTTATCGCCCAATGGAATGTCAAAGCCATTCGATGATAATGGTGATGGGTTTGTTCGCTCTGAAGCCGCTATAGTAATGCTTTTACAGAAAGAAAGTGTAGCAAAAAGGATGTACGCAAAAGTTTTGGGTGCCGGTACAAATGTTGATGGAAATAAAAAAGAAGGTGAGAAGGAGTTAATTTCATTGAGCTCTACAATTTTGACATGTCTACTGATGAGTTTTCCACTAATAAATCTTCTTTTTAAATCATAAAAATGAGTTATAATAGTTAAAATGATGTCGAATAAATTTTGCACGAAACTTAGGAAGGTCAGACAAATTCTTTCCCAATGCGCCATTTAAAAACATAGAAAAATAATATGCATGATATCCAAGATGATATCGGATATCTAAATTGCCTAATATATGTAGGTAACCACTATATGTAGGTAACTACTCCCCACCCTTTTCAGGGCGAAGATTGAAAATGAATTTGGCAACATTTTTCTTTTATTTTCACAGCTTTTCTTTCTTATGAGCAGATAATAATAATAACTGTTAACTGTGCACTCCGTATTGATGAAATTAATTTTTATTGCAGGAATTACTTTTCCTTCGGGACGTATGCAAAACAAACTCATGCGAGAAATGTACGCGGAAAGCGGGATAAATCCCCATGACGTGGTGTACATGGAAGCACATGGCACCGGAACCAAAGTTGGGGATCCCCAGGAGGTAAATTCAATTACGGATATGTTTTGTACGAATCGTCCGACTCCACTTCTTCTTGGTTCAGTGAAATCCAATATGGGTCACGCTGAAGGTGCCGCTGGTTTGTGCGGCCTTTCCAAAGTCATAATTGCTATGGAAACCGGTATAATTCCTAGAAATTTGAATTTTGAAACTCCGAACAAGGATATAACTGGAATTTTTGATGGAAGGGTAAAGGTAAGTCGAATAGAAATTATTATGTATTATTAGTCCAGACAGAAGGCAATTAATTTTTTTGGTACCTATTTATTTTCCCCGTCAGTCAGCAAACATCGATAGAATTTGTAGCAAAACGCCCCAAGTACTATATGTAATTGGTTAGATGGTAAATGGCGAGCGGTATATTGATGATGTTTATTTCCTTGGAGCTGCTACCTATAAAATTGTGGAGGGTCTATTCGCAAAAGAGAGAAACAAACTATTGAGGTTTATTAAATTATATTTTATTATACATAAAACCAAAAATTTAAATAAGCAAAATATCTTTCAATTCTGACAGCCACTTCTATTTTTCCCAATTCAAATTATTTCACATCCGTTCAAATGTCATTATTACGGACCAGGAAATATCCATAAAAGAAAAACGCCCTACTTCTACTATTCTCAATAACTTATACGTTTATACATTGCAACACTTCCGATTCATTCCTATTAAACTACCCTTCACCTATATCGATAAATTCTTAAAAATTCCTAAGTCCTTTACTGACTGCTTATGCAAACTAATTATTTAAGACATAATCCGACTCGCTATATTTTTATAAAAATCTTACAATAATTTCTACATAAATCAAAACCTAATTCAAAATTTCAGCACTTAAGATTATCAATGTTTCTTCATGAACAGCAAATTTCAAAAAAAAAACTTCCAATACTTGTAATAATTATCGACAGCAATTTTATTTTATGAAGAACAACAAGTTTCTTTTCGAAACTTTCATTTTATTTAATGCTTGATTTAATCAGAACAATTACTATTTCCGGATTCCTAGCCAAAAAACACAATTATTTAAATTCTTATTAGTTAGTTACTATAGCCCTTAAACTTCAATTGGACAATCCAATTCAAAATTCTTTAATAATTCCTACTCAAAATCGATTATTGCTAAGAGCATTATAATTTCCCCTTTTAATTTTTTGCAAAATTAATTAAAATGTCATTATACTCGAAGGAAATTAAGTTTATGCAATAATGTTCCATAGTCAAAACACTCGAGTTATTAATATTTATGCAATAAACTTCCAAAGTTAATTCACTTCATAGTCATTCATCATTTACTAAGTCAAAAAGTTTTACTAATCCCAAGAGTACTGAGTACTTACATTTAAATTGTCACTCGATAAAATTACTTAATTTAATTTACTTTAAAAATCTCTAGAGCACGCACATAATATTGAACGAATTTAAATGTTCTTCCTTTCATAATTCTCCGTTACTTTTCAAAGACTTTTTCCGAGGCAATAAAAGAAACTTTCGCGAATTTTACCAGGACTGACACATTAGGTACTGTAGACTTTAACTGAAACTGGACTGAACTGCGAACTGATGATCTTAACTGAAAAACCGCCGTATTTATATGTTTTGTTCCCCCAATTTTATGAGTGCTTTGACATCAAGATTTCGTTATCTCGGCCCTCTTTTTAGTGGAATGCGGTACCGTTTCTTTGTCGGCATACAGCACGCGCCTGATTTATGGTGCTTTCCCGGAATTTGGGTTCAGTGACAGATGGCGTCATGTTAGTAAAGTGCCGCGTTTCAGGGACACATTCCAATTGAATCCTCTATTTTTTCGGAGGATGATGCAATCTTTGTCATTTTTATTAGTTTAAATCGAATAATCATGTCACAATACCCTAGTTTATAGGGGTCAACAAATTTTTTGGTTCAAGAATGCCATAAATCATCGATTTAATTACTATGGCCTCGCTTTCAATTAAGGAATTTTAGATGATGACACAGGCTTGGTTATTTCCTAATATAATTTTGAACGTATTTGGGGTCAACGTTAATTTGTTTCCTTCTCAATTTTTTGATACTGATTTGAAATACAGGAAATTAAGTTTTTGATTATTTGATTACATTTAATTTTTACAGTAAAGACATTGTAATTATCGGGTCTATATTCTGGATCATTACAAATTGTTCAGTGACTAATTCTAAGCATTATTTTCTATATACATTTGGGAAGGGGGTGCGAGTGTCCGATTGGTTAAGGAGGCTGAGGCGGAACTGATACAGAAGTTTCAAATATTTACTTGGACGTTTTATCTCTAACAAATAGTGCATCTATTGTGCTTCCTGATTTCATGGTAGATATATTAAGCGATCCCTACGTGGCAGTAGAGAAAAAGGTATGCCTAGCATTGCATGTTTTCGTTACATAGCAACTCACATGAAACGAACTTACCCTATCGTGCGTGAAGAAGTTTCACTTCAAAAAACTGAGAATGTCACGTTTGAGCCTCAGAGTGGGTGGTTGGATGATTCATTTATTTGTATCTCACTCAGATATTGACGTTTCCTATCAAAACTGTCCAAATTGGACCACCATGTACAGGGAATAAGTGAATAATCGTTTCGTTTATGGATAGTACTAGTACCTCGTTGACATAGGAATAAGGATTACTTCGTTGCAGAAACAATATGAAAACTTTGATATAATTTTTTTTTCAGGTGGTATCAAAAAATGAACAATGGACCGGAGGCATTGTTGGGATAAACTCTATCGGGTTTGGAGGAACAAATGCGCATGTTATCTTACAATCAAATCCAAAAAGAAAAATGCCTATGATCAAAAGTTGCTGGCCTCGAGTGGTGGGAGTTTCTGGACGTACTGAACAAGCAGTTAAATTTTTCCTTGAGCAAGTGCATAAACATCGTGACGATCAAGAATTTTTGGCACTTATTGACCAGATTCATTCAAAAAATATCATCGGACATACCTTTAGAGGCTATTCACTACTTAAAGATGAACCGATTTTTGAGATAACTGAAATACCTACTGAAAACAGACCTATTTGTTTTGTCTTTTCTGGAATGGGCTCTCAGTGGGCCGGTATGGCTAAAAACCTTATAAAATTGGATATTTTTGAAAAGTCAATTGATAGATGTGCTGAAGCCCTTCGACCTCATGGAATTGATTTGAAAGATATTATGGTTAACAGTTCGCAGGAAACTTTTGAAAATGTTCTATATTCTTCTATATCTATTACCGCTATGCAAATTGCCCTAACCGATATATTAAAAACAATTGGCATTGAGCCGGATTTTATAGTAGGCCATTCTATGGGTGAGATAGGTAAGCTACTGTTTTTTTGTTTGAGGTTCTTTTACACAGGTGGATATGAAATTGTAAAAAAATTTAAAAAAATTTGCCCTTGGCAAATGCTCATTTCTTTTGTGGCCAAAATTATCGCACCAGTATTCAAATAGCCAGATCTAACGTATTTCCTTGAAAAAACTATCAATACTAAGCTATGTTTTTCATCTTATAGTTTGTGCCTACGCCGACGGAGCTATAACATCTGATGAAGCCATGTTGATAGCCTATAACAGGAGCTGTGCCGTTTTGGAATGCAACATAGCTGAAGGTGCTATGGCAGCTATAGGTTTATCTTGGGAAGAAGCACGAGTCAAATGTCCTCCGGAAATTGATCTCGCTTGTCATAATAGCATAGATTCAGTGACAGTGGCCGGCCCTCCAGAAGCCGTCAAAAAGGTAAAATAGCTCAGAACTGAACTGGATAATTTTTACTTCATTTCTTGTTATTCACTAGTTGAAGTTTTATAAGTATTGGATGGTTGATTTAGTTTTTTTTTGTTTCACTATCACTTTTATTAAGTTTTTTCGACCTAATCTATTTGTTTCATATCCTCATTTCCAAAAGAAATGCGAAAGAAAAATATGTTTCCGGCGAATTTTCCATCGTCTGTAACTCTTCCAACTTCCAATTCGTTTGCTCAAATGACCATCTTGATGAATTTTTTTGACCTTTGAGAAACCTTGACTTTCACTTTTAATTGCAATTTTTCCGAATTTATTATTATTTTACATTAACATTATGGTTAATCATTCTCCAAGCATGAAACAATAGGCTTTTGATAGTAAAATATGGAATATACATTTTTGATTGTAATCTATCTGATTATCTAACAAATACTGCATCTATTATGCGTTCTGATTTTGTGATGGATACATTACGATTATTATTAATTTTTACATCAAATTCATCTAAAAAATCTATCAAAGGTTGTGCCTCCTCTAGAGTAAATTTATTAATAAAATCTCCTCAGGTACTTGCGAAAAAGCGATCCCCATTATTAAGTCAACTGCGTGGCAGTAGAGAGGATGCCAAGCGTTGCATATTTTCGTTACATAGCAACTCGCATGTAACGAGCTCACCCTACTGTGTCTGAAGATTTGAAGAAATTTCAATTCAATTGTATTATTATCCATAAGGACACTGTTCCAGATCTAAGATGTAACTTTAACGCTTTCAGAGTGAGGATGGAGTTCTCAATGCTTGCCTCTAATCTGTTTTCCACAAAAGAAGGCAGCAAAGATTGGACGCGTACCTAAAATGGGCGTTTTCCTAATATTAGAAATTTTATATTGGAGTTAAGGACCTGAAGGGGTTTTTGTTCCATTTTGTCCTGTCCCAAATGATGTGAAAATTATCATAAAAGGAGATACAAATGCAAATGTAAATACATATTTTAGATACTTGGTCTGGAAACTTTGGCCTAATACAAACCGTCTGCCATTTTCTCTTCGTGAATGATTTTCCAATTTTTTTCTATTTTCTAATTTAAATGGAAGACAATTTGAGATCCCAGAAAAACACACATTTTTCTGTACAAATAAAAATTGAAATATCCGAAGTGGGGACAGCGGTTAGGGCTATCTTTATTTTTAGCAACAAACTTGCCGTTCCCAACAAACCTACAAAAATGAGACAAAATTACTCCACACATAATTGTGTTAAGTGTAATACCATTAGTAAATTAGTATAGACCTCAGACTATTGTATATGTTACGGCTAATATGCAAACTTAAATAGTTTTTAAACTAACTGGATAGTTTACAAACTAACCAACAGTTGGCTATTTTGATAGAAAACGAAATTTCCACTAAAATAACTATTTAGTTTGTAAAGTAACCAAGAGTCTTAGATAATTTTCTTGAGATTATTGAGAAAACTGGAATAGCTGCTTAGTTTATAAACTATCAAACAATTTTTTTTTTCTACTAGCGTGCGTAAAGTACCCACTTTACGCACTATTCAGAAGACGTAAAATTTCTCTTCACGCACTAGTGCGTGAAGTACTTCACTTCACACACTAGTGCGTAAAGTAATGTCAATGACAGATGTCGACCTGTCAAATTACTATTTTTCTGGTAAATTACTTCAAGCACTAGTGCGTAAAGTGAAAATACTTTACGTACTAGTGCGTGAAGAGTTTTTCTAAATTTATTTTTTTATGCATATTTGATTAGTAGTAGAAAAAATTTTGTATGCAATACGTGCGTAAAGCAACTTTTTTCACTCATGTGAAAAAGGTTTACTTTACACACTTGTTGCATAAATAACTATTTTCTACTACCGTGCCTAAAGTACTCACTTTACGCACTATTCAGAAGACGTAAAATTTCACTTACGCTCTAGTGCATAAAGTAATTCACTTCACACACTAGTGCGTAAAGTAATCAGTGTTGCCAGATGAAATGAAAAAAATTCGTGAGAATCGAGAAAAAAAAATCGTGAAACTTAAAACTGATAAAATATTGTAAGAAAATAATGCACAACAATGTTGTTTTATAGATTTTTGATGAAGTAAACATGATTTTACATTCATAAGATATAGAAATGTTATTATTAAATCTTGTATCCTTGTTTTTTCCCTATTTTAGGAGGTGTTTCTGAGAGCTGAACCTCGTTTTCATTATCCGCAGCTGGTCTGCGACTGACGTCACCATTATCAGCAGCTGATAGTGGTAATGTCAACCGCAAACCTCGATGGATTGCTTGCAATTCAGGCTGTGCTTGTGAGTTAGTTTTTTTTGGGAATTTTAAATTTAGAAAAGGCGATTTCAACGTTTATTGATTCGTTTTTTGGACTCGCATAATGCATTTTCTGCCCAGAGTTGAGGTCTGCAGCTAACGTCACAAATAGTGGGGTCTCGTAGACTTGGCAGACACTTTCAGCTCAATAAGCAGTTCTATTACTACAGCATATACAAAAACAAGCAGCAGGTTAACTCTCACGCGCATCTCTTAAAGCCTATCTTTAAATAGCTGAACAATGAGATTTAACGTGCATCTCATCTGCGCACGCCGCCATTTTGGGATACAAAGCGTGAGTCAGAGTCAGCTTTCTGATTGTTTCTGTATATGCCGTGCTATAGGTAAAGTGTTCTTAAGCACGCATATACCAGGAGCGGCGTAACATAACTAAATATTGTATAGTAGATTTTTATTCCCGATAACATTATATTTGATTACTGATTTGTATTACTACAGAGAGAATTCGTAAGAATTGCTACCTCATTCGTGAGATCGTGAAATTATGACCAAAATCGTGTAATCTTACGAATAATCGTGAGATCTGGCAACACTGAAAGTAATGACAATAGCAGATGTTGACACTGTCAATTTAGTATTTTTCTGGTAAATTACTTCACACACTAGTGCGTAAAGTGAAAATACTTCACGCACTAGTGCGTAAAGTATTTGTCTAAATCTATTATTTTACACATATTTGATTGGTAGTAGAAAAAATGTTGTATGCAATACGTGCGTAAAGCACCTTTTTTACACTTGCATAAATAACTATTCTCTTGTGGTATTATATATGAAAAAATAAAATATTTTCAAATAAGTATGTACAACCACGTACAGCTTACTTAGATATTTTCATAGTAAAGTAAAATGTCCATTCAAGCTAATATTTTTCCAGATTTTTTATTTACTGCATCAACTCGTTGTGAATCGTAATACTTTATGAAATAATAATCAGATTTTTGTGCACTTTAGCTTCTTTGATTGCAAAGTTGGGAATTAATTGCTTTCCTATTATGAAGATCTAATAAATAGACGTTAAATTTTTCTTTGTGATCATTTTATTAACAATAACTGTTGCTGTTCCTGTGAAATATTGAAACAAACCCGGCTAGGACAGTAAACAAAAAACAATATCATTCCGTTTTCAAAACGTAACCTAACTTTATTTGTAAATTAGCCAGAAAATTGGTTGGTTAGTTTATAAACTAGCGAAAGGCTTGCAGGCTTGGCTATTTTCTGTTACTAGAAATAATGGTTTTCATATTCAGGCTGCATTAGATAGGTAGTTTTTGAAGTAACCAGCTCATTTAGTTTTGTCAATAACTTCAAGACTCTTGGTTAGCTTACAAACTAGCTGCTATTTTGGTGAAAATCGCATTTTCTATCGAAATATCTAATGCGTTGGTTAGTTTGTAAACTTTCCAGCTAGTTTACAAACTATCTAAGCTTGCATACCTATAAACCGTAACATATTTAAATCATGTAGGTATTTATAGAAACTTGAGGTCGTATCTTTATTGGAATATCCTACATCATCCGACATCCTACATCAGTGAATTAATTTAAAAAAAAAACCCTAATCTACGTCGGTGTCGACGTATTTAGCAATGTCATTTGAATCTGAATGTCATTAATAGCACTAGTGCGATTATAAGAAAAGATAAGACAAGATAATTTATTGGTAATAACATATGTATGAAACAAATTTTTAAAAGTCAAGACAAAAGTACTCTTAGGTAAATGCGAGGGTAAATGTCGCAAAATTTCTGAACATTACCCACCCAAGTATAATACAGTGTGTCCACTTAAGTTCGTTCCTTTTTTAATATCAATTTTACGAAAAAAAGTTATTCTTTATAAAAGTTTCTGCTACTTGAAAAAATATTATTAAACTATTAAAACTTGAAATAGCATGTACAGAGTGGTAAAAAAATAGGAAAATATACAGGGTGTTTCCTAAGTACGGTTCGTAACTTGGGGATGTGATTCCTTACATTATTTCAAAAAAAAAAGTTCGCATAAATATGTGTCCGGAAATGCGTAGTTTCTGAGATACAGGGTGTTAAAGTTTTAGAAAAAATCGTTTTTTTAGCTCAAAAATCCCTTTTCCATTTTTTTTTTTTCAAATTTGGCAGGTTTGTTTGTGATAACGGAAGGTATCTTTTGACTGTAATATGACTTGCTTAATGTGAAAAAAATATCAGAAGTTTAAAAAAATAGTGATGTGTCATTTTTTTTCCACTTTTACCAAAAAACCCTGTATATTTTCCTATTTTCTGACCACCCTGTACATGCTATTTCAAGTTTTAATAGTTTAGTACTATTTTTTCAAGAAGCAGAAACTTTTATAAAGAATAACTTTTTTTTGTAAAATTGATAATAAAAAAGTTTCCCATATGCTGCGAACTTAAGTGGACACACTGTATATAATATTTATACATTCACAATTATAGTTATTATTATTATTAAACTTTCTCTAATAGCTAACATTTAATATTAAATAATAATCCATCTTCGTACTGAGGAAAACCACCTATTTAAAATATTATTTCTTCAAATCTTTATTTTTTACTGAATAAAAGTAAAATGTTGCAACCTTGTATGCGCCGTGAAGCGTACTGAAGGGTATCAAACCGAACGGGAGCTAGAGAAGAGGGATTAGGCATTAGAGATACTCCAGAACGAGCTGGACTGGTCCCTTACAAAACGTGTCGCGTGTCTGTAATTATTCATTATTCAATTTTCATTTCTATTTTGGATTAAAACTGATTGTTCAATCCAATTTGTTATTAGTGTGTGTGTAAGGAGCGTTCACAGGTTAGTGGATTAAATGTTATTTTGTTTTTGAGAGTTCAATTTATGTAAATTCCTATTATTTTGTTCATTTTTATGTATTTTTTGTTTGTCTATAACATTTTTTTTTAACATGTGCATTGTTCATGTATTTAACAAAAATCGTTCCATACTGTAAACAACATAGATAAAGAAGTAAATTAGAACCTAAGAAATTATGTGATGTCTTTTTGTGCTGAGATTTTGATTTTGTGGATTTAGAGCGTGCATTAGAGCCTTGTTGAATTTATTAACATTTTCCTACCCTGACGAGAGAATATCCTAACAAATTGAAATAATCAATCTAGAGATATTGGCTCAAAAACAACTATAGCTGAGTAGCTTCCCGAATGGGACCTCAGTATCCGCTGGGAAATTGGCTAACAAAAAAACTCTTCAGTATTGAATATAGTATGTTTCGATTTTTGAGGAATGTTAGATCGAGGGTTTCTCTGCCGCTGTCTTTCTCCTCGAGAATTCTAGGTCGAGAACGGTACGATTTACTTTAATAATAAAGTAGGCGTTTCACAAATTTTTCGTTTCTTCTACATAATCACAACTTCCCTTAAATTTCCCAAATATTTGCTATATCGGGCGCATGTCCAGTAAGTAAAATTGAGTAAGTTTCCACAACGTAGGTCCTATTTGTTTCTCATTTCGTTTTTCAGAAGATTTTTTGTTTAAATTGTAATAAAAATTCTCATCGTTCAATCTTACTGAACGATCTCGGGGTATGTTATACTACAGTACACGACATGTTAAATTGACAAGTTGAAAAATCTGAACATTTAATAGCTATTGATATAATAAGTTACGAAATGAACGTCTTTCAGGCACGCGATGTGGAAATTGTCCAACGAGGCAAAGCCGAGTTGGAAAACAAGTCGACAAACACCAGTTTGTCACCTGCTTTTGCTTGACGCCTTTCATACGATTTTTTTTTCAAGATTCGACATCAATAATTGAAATACTACAAAAAGTAACAACACAAAGTTCTGTTTTGAGTAACCCAAACATTCAATTCAATGAATGCATTTTTAATATCCATAATAAATATATAAAATTCGAATCTGTGTTTAGTGTACTTTCTATTTCTGAACAATGAATGTTACTTTTAAGCACTAGTGCATAAAAACACTTTCACGCACTGAGTACTTGAAAGAATGTCGTTTAAAAACTAAAATGACAATCGAAAAGTGTCTATTATGAAACGTCAGTATAGAAAATAGTACCTACATTAAAATACAAGTTTGTGTGAGTGTCACAAAGAGCTTCTTTTCGAAACTACTTTTAGTGTCGAAAAGACTTCGATATGACACCAAAATAGAAAAACACATTTTAACAACCATTTTTTTCTAGCTTGTGGCTGACCTTCACGCTGATAACATTTTCGCCAAGATTATCCATAGTTCAAAAACTGCCTTTCATAGCAAATATATTGCCAACGCTGAGCCGCTAGTGAAAAGGAAGCTCGAACCAATTATAACCAGCCCCAAACACAGATCGTCTAGGTAAGTACTTATCTACTCACTTACTGTAATATGCTAAGCTGACAAGTAACACACATACTGATTATGGTTATGGCATCATTTCTGACCTGGAAAAGTGCAAAATCTCACCTCCTTTCCTCTTATTTGGATTTCATTTCTAAAAAACTGCGAATCAACAGCCAAGGCTTCGCAATACAAATATTATGAATAGTATATTAAAGTATAAGTGGATATTTGTTACATTTTATTTGACGTTATCTACAAGTACCTAACCTACTCCTGACAAATCAATAATTAAAAAATTGACATTTAAACCTTTCTCGGGTTGTTTGCAAGAATTGCATTAATTGAAATGATCTATTGGTTATTACATTACAGTAAATTGTACTTAAGTTTTGTGTGTCTATGTTTCAAAATTTACATTGGGTTTATTTGTTGTTATGTGGCAAATTTTCAAGAAAAATCTTTGTTGAAAATTAAGAAAGATAGTCGATGATTGAAAGTCAAAATGCAAAATGGTGTCCAATTTCGCAATAGTTTGACGTCTAAACGTTGGCTGTTATTGATTTAGAATTTTTGAAATTAAAGTCCAAATTAGCGGAAACCTATACTTTTAATCCGGATAATTAATTTCAGTTATGTTTTTAATTCTAGGTGGATCTCCACCTCTATTCCAGAACTTGCCTGGAGCACCCCACTTGTACAAACATGTGGTTCTGAATACTTCATAAACAACTTACTCAACCCTGTTCTCTTTCACGAAGCTCTTATGCATGTACCCAAAAATTCGACTGTTATCGAAATAGCGCCATCGGCTCTCCTGTCCTCAATTCTTAGGAAGACATTTGGCAAAAGTGCGACTGTTATTTCGTTGGTCAAGAAAGATCATGATGATAACATATCGTTTTTAACATCCGCTTTAGGAAAAATCTATACTGCCGGTTGTCAGCCAAAGTTTGGAAATTTATACGATTCAATATCATTTCCTGTAAGCAGAGGAACACCGATGATAAACTCGATGATTAAGTGGGATCATTCTATAGAGTGGGCTGTAGCTAGGTTTACTCCTAAGGAAAATACAGGAGAACTGAGTATCGACATAGACCTGAGCAAAGATAGCGATAAATACTTAGCTGATCATATTATTGATGGAAGCATAATATTTCCTTGGATGGGATACTTAGTTTTGGTATGGCAATGCTTTGCTAAAATTAAGGATGTAAACTTTGAAACAATGCCTGTAATTTTAGAAGATATTCAATTTAAAGAAAATGTTAGATTTACAAAAAATGGGGCAGTAAAATTTCATTTTACGATTTTGAAAGTAACCGGAAAGTTCGAGTTAAGTGAAAAAGGATCTGTTGTAGTTAGTGGGAAAATTTCAGTAAAGTTAGATAATGATCCGTCGAACTTACGAAAACCTATGTTTAATGAAGATGGTATTATACTGACAACCCAAGATATTTACAAAGAGATGCGACTAAGAAATCATGATTATAGAAATATATTTTGTGGCATACTGAAATGTAATGTTGACAGGAAGACTGGACAGCTTAGATGGAAAAATAATTGGATTACTTTTTTGGATAGCATGTACCAATTTTTCATTTTAGGCTCTGATAGTAGACAACTTTATGAGCCTAGTCATCTACAGAAGATTGTCATAGACCCCATTGACCATTTAAGCATTGTAAAACAGCTTTCAGAAGATGAAGGTGTGAACATTGCTACGTTTCCCCATATAAAAGTAGTCAAATCTGGTGGTATTGAATTCACTGGTCTAAAATTAAATATAGTTCCGACAAAAAATAGAACGCAACAATTTCCCAAGCTGGAAAGATATGAGTTTGTACCTTTAAATAATTATAAGGATTTGAGTAAGAGTTCGAAGAAAGCAAAAACAGACGCTTTAACGGTTTTAAGTCAGTTAGTTTTGGAAAATTCCGCAGGTTCTCATGTTAAAATTACCGAAATATGTCAAAATGGACTTGATACAGCACTAATCCCTGAAATAACTGATATTTTCAACAATGAAGCAATGATTACTGTAGATGCTGCCATTGTTGTAAATCACGATCCAGAAGATGCGACTTACAATTACTTCAAAGAAATGGGGATTAACGTGCATGTGAAAGATTTTCAAACTAATGCAATTATTGGTACTAATGTTCATCTAGTCATTCTGCGCAATACTATAGCAAACAACCAGATGTCCTTGATTAAAAATGCAAAGAAGTCTTTAAGAGAAGGCGGGTTTATACTTTTGGAAGAGCCAAAAGCAATATTCGTTAATCTTAATACTACTAATCAAATTTCACAAATAAAGGAATTGAAATTGAATACTATAAGCATTCAATCCACCACGGAAAATACCTTCATTCTTTTGAGGCCGGAAATTGTAATCCCAAGTAATTCAATTTTAATACAAATTAATGAAAATAATTTTTCCTGGATAGACTCACTCAAGGATGCTATGCAGAAAGCAGATGAGTTAAATACTAAAGTTTATATATATGCGCAAGGTGAACCATTAACAGGCCTTATAGGAATGGTTAATTGTCTTAAACAAGAACCAGTAGGAGGTAAAAACATTCGCTCCGTTTTTATTCATGATAAAAATACACCAACATTCAGTCTTAAAGCCTATCAGGAACAATTAAAATACGATTTAGTGCATAACGTATTGAAAAACGAAATCTGGGGAACGTATAGGCATTTACTTTTGGAAGAACCTATCGATACGAAAATTTCACCAGTTAAACATGCTTATATCGACTTATCAATATGTGGAGATTTATCTACTTTAAAATGGGTTCAAGGCCCTTCTCCCCATTCTATTTCTGGAAAACAGCTCTGTTATGTCTATTACGCTGCGGTCAACCTGGCGGACGTTATGCTGGCAACAGGAAAAATATCCATGCATAATATGTCACCAGAATTGATCGACTGTCATGGTCAGTTTGGTTTCGAATTTTCTGGAAAGACTAGCAGCGGTTGTCGGGTAATGGGTTTACTTCCAGTGGGAGCCCTTTCAACCACTGTATTGGCGGATAGAGATATTCTTTGGGATATTCCAGACAGTTGGAGTTTAGATGAAGCAGCAACCATACCGCTAGCATACTCAACAAGTTATTATGCTCTTATTATAAGAGGTGAAATGAAAGCAGGAAAGTCGATCCTCATTCACGGTGGTAGTGGAGGGATAGGACTAGCTTCTATCGCTATCTCTTTACGAATGGGCTGTGAAGTTTATACTACAGTGTCCAGTCAAGCCAAGAAGGAGGTTTTGATAAAATCTTTTCCACAACTGAATGTCAACAACATTGGCTACTCTCGAGATACTAACTTTGAGCAATTGGTCTTAGATAAAACAAACGGCAGAGGAGTTGATCTAGTTCTTAATTCTTCACAGGTGGGACATTTTCAGGCTTCGCTTCGTTGTTTGGCGTTTGGGGGAAGATTCTTAGAACTTGCTAGGACATCTATACTTGAAAACGGTGTACTCCCGGAAAATGCGACAATTCACCGAATTAACTTACAGACAATATTCAATAATGCCGATGAAAAGAAGAAGGTTGTGAAATTAATATCAGAAGGAATTGTATCTGGAGTTGTTCAACCTCTTCCCAAACTAATATTCAATAAAAATCAAATCGAACAGGCCTTTAAATTTTTAGCATCTGGCAAACATATTGGTAAAGTAGTTTTGAAAATAAGAAACGAAGAGTCCGAAAATGTCCAAATGCCTATTTCCAAAAACATATTTGCAATTGCCCGTTCCTACTTTGATCCAAATAAAAGTTACATATTGGTAGGCGGACTAGGCGGTTTTGGTTTAGAACTAACTGATTGGCTGCTAAAAAGAGGTGCCAAGAAACTGATTATCGTGTCAAGTAGTGGAATAAAAACTGCTTACCAATGTTGGTGCATTAAAAAATGGCAGAAAATTGGTACTCAGATATTAGTTAATACTCAAAATGCACATACAAAACAAGGAGCTATCTCTATACTAGAACAAGCGAATAAACTGGCTCCTATAGGCGGAATTTTCAATATGGCGACAGTTATTTGCGATGCAGAATTCATCAATCAAACCGAAGACAATTTTAAAGCTACCTATAAACCAAAGGCTGACGTAACCAGGCAACTTGATTCAGCCGCTAGAACATTAGCCCCTCAACTCGATTATTTCGTTTGTTTTTCGTCATTTTCTTGCGGCCGCGGAAATCCTGGTCAATCCAATTACGCCGCAGCTAATTCAGCGATGGAAAGAATTATTGAGGCTAGAAAAAATGCAGGATTTTGTGGATTAATAATTCAATGGGCGTCTCTTGGTGACGTTGGACTTGTTTTTGATGCAATGGGTGGTTCTAATGATACTGAGGTGCTTGGAACCTTACCCCAAAGGTAAATTATAGAAGATAAAAAAAGGTGTAGATTATTGACTATGTTTGCAAAAACAAGTGGATTCTGAATACTGGATCTGTATTATTATAGTTAAAAAGTCAATTTCATAAATATTTTGAGATAATTTTATTAAGTCAAAATATCGACAACACTTGATCGAAAAGCAAAAGGTCGGACATGCAAAATATAAATAACAAAATATAGGTATGTACCTGAAATTGTAAAATAAAGGAAAGCGAAATATTGAAAGAACAAAATATCGAAATTGAAAATCCCATTAATTCTAATAAAGTCATTCTATGGAGCATTGGGGTTGATTGCGTAGAACCTACCATACTGCCTCATGGGGCGCTTATGCAGAAAGTAGGTACCTATTCCCTACTTTGTGTTAGTTACGGTTACTTTGTAATTATGTTGATTATTTTCTGGACTAGTTGGCATTATTATTTATTATTTTTTAAAAAATCCATACGTTCAAGAATTAGCAGGCATTATGAGAACGTTTTTTTTTTTTTTTCAAATTAGTATCGATAAAATTTTTTAGATATCCTTTCCTTTCGATTTTTAGCCTCTCGATATTTTGTATTTTCAATATCTACACTACTTACCTATCTCTTGCGATATTTTATATTACTTACCTATCGTATATTTCTTAGTTTCGACATTTTGCTTTTCGATCAAACTAATGTTTTTGATCTCTATATTTTGACTTTCGTTCGTAATTTGTAACACAAGAACGACATAAGAACCATAATATCATACATTGCTAAAAAATCATAGATTTATACTCATAAAAAAATTTACTAATGCACTAACAGCACAACGCTCAACATTATGTTTGTTCTAGAATGTCGTCCTGCATGGCTACTATGGATATGTTACTTCAACAACCCTACCCCATTGTAGCGAGTACAGTGATTGCTAAAAAGCGTAAACTATCAAATTTAAACCAAGATAATTTACCCAGCATTATAGCAAACATGTTAAGCATCCAAAATTTAGCTTCAATTGCACCAAAAGCAACGTTGGAGGATCTTGGCGTGGATTCATTAATGGTCGCCGAAATTAAACAAATTCTTCAAACAACCTTTGATGTTGTTTTAACTGCCTCAGAAATAAAAAGCGTAACTTTTGCCAAACTTCAGAACTTATCAGCGATTTCATGTCAGTGAAAATAATAAACAATTATAAGAAATTGTAGCTTAAACATATGTATTTGTATAGGTTTTTTATGTTATGGTTAGGATGAAGTAATCACAAAACATCCCCCCTTAGAAAGGTAAGTGCCGTGTTGAGAACCTGTCTATAAGTTTTCAGCGCCTCTAGTGACTGGGGGGGTAAGCTTTTGTAATTCTGGATTTATTGGCGAATGCAAAACGCAATTAGGGTTCGTTCGGTATCTTATTTGTTCCGGTGGATCGTTTGCACCATTGTTTGATTCTAGCGATTCAACACCACCACTTTAAAGTTTCTACCATTTTTTGGCATAAAATAATTGTGCCAAAAAGAAGAAACTCATAAAATCGGTAGTGTTGAAGCGCCTTCAAGGTAAAATTGACTAAAAATTAAGATGACAAATTTAGATATTTATTAAAGTTTGAAACAGAAAATATTAAAGAATATGGAATTAATTACAATTATTGCGAAACAGTTTTTTTTCATGTAAGTATACATACATAGGTAGGTAATGCTAGTTAAGTTAAAGATAATAAGGACAGTTACAAGAAGTAATGACGTACATTTAACAATAGCTTGATGAAAAACTTAAATCGTAAATAAAATGACAAAAGAGGTCCTTTTCTCACAATCCAAAATCGTTGTTAACCTAACAAGTGAGGAAAGTGTTTCTGCACGTGATGGAAGTTGCACGAATGACAACAAAAAGCAGAGTTCAAACAAGCCTTTAAGTCCAGAAAATACACTTTCCGCATGTGTTAGGTAGAAAGTTTATGTAGTTATACATAATATAAAGCTCATTCAAGAAAATGATTTCGCCTGGATGATAGAATAAATATTTTTGATAATAGTCTATACCCTTTACCACTAGCTTTAAGCAAAGACAACGCCAACAACTTCTCGTCCAATGTAAATCGTCTAGCTTTAGGCTTTTGGTTTTGAGTACGGACTTGGCTTAAAATAAAGCTGTATATCAATGGATTGACGTGGTCTACGAGCCTTTGAAATTTGGTTTATGATGCAAGTTATTCAGCAGTAGAAACTTTGGATTTAAATAACGACAACCTTCTACTGATTCTTCTTAACTTATTGCTGGATTCTATAACTTTGGAATAAAGATATTTTTCCCTTGGGGATAGGAATTTTTTGCCTAGTGACGTTAATGTTCTTTAAAATTTGGCATCGTCTCTCATGACCTGCAAAAAAAAAATAGATCAAGATTGGAGACGAGCTTTTCGCACATTTAGCTTCTAATTTTTCTAGCATTCGATTGCAAGTTTTAGTAATTAGTAGTCTTTTATAGTAGTAGTCCTATTTGAGTTAGGATGTTTTAAAATTCACCTACTCCCAACTGGGTGGTTATTCATTAAGCAATAACACTTAGGTACCTACCAATAAAAGTTTTAAGAGACAAAGTGGGTTGGTGACTTTTTCATGTTTGCAGATGTGATGGTTCCACTTGGTGTAGCAATGTCTGCCCGAATTGCAGAAGTTTCAGTAGATAAAAATTGACGACATGAAGGGCCTGGTTGATCTAAAACAGAAATTTCGTTACCAACGATTCTACCAAAAAAGTTTGGATACATGCATTGTAGAATATGGTGTACCTGTATGTAACCAGGAATATTTTAATTATTGTGTCTCCTGATAAAGGAATAAACATTTAAAAAAAAGAAATGAATAATATTAGCTTTGTTCCAACACAGCAGAAAACCGTACAATGTACCGTCACGATTCTGCGCAGAAACTAAAATTGTTATACTGAGTGGTTTCGAAACCGTTCATGGGACGATTTTTTGACGTGTTGGAACAGAGTTATTATGTTTACCTACCTATGTCAATCATAGTTGCGAAACTAATTTCTGAAGGCGTCTTAGGACTCTTCGACGAGTTTCAACTGTGTCGATCTCCACTTTTTGCGATTTTGGTGATTGTGGTTTATCAATTAACGACTCCTTACTGTTTTTGATAATTGGGGCTAAAATTAAAATTAATTTTAATGTTTCTGACCTATGCTCCTTTAAACCCGAATTCTAACACGTTGTCGTTAATCAGAACTATGGGGAGGAATAAGTGAAAATGTAAGTACGTCTTTCTCACATATATCTAGTATTAACTTACCTTCAGGGAGATACAGCAAAAGCGCAGCATTCCATGTGAGTCCTCGTCTGGCTTTTGGATCGCCAACAATAAATTCTCGAGGAAAATGTCTTGTTCACGCTCTATAATTATTATAAGCCTTCTCGACACTGAGGCTATTTAGTAAAGGATTGCGAACTTTTTCTAGCCATTGTTTCATTTTTTCGGCATCTTTTGGAAACCGGAAATAGCTGCTGTATTTGTCGCCGCACCCCGGAACACAGCATTTCTGATGCTTTTCAATTAACAAACTGGGAGGAGACATTTTGAGATAATAATTATTGATAATTGATAGGTAATTGATAATTCTAAATGTTGGGAGAAGTTCAAAATTTAAATTTTGACGACTGGAAATGACAAAATAAACTTCAAATCTTGGCGCACGGTCCGGCAGGAAAAAGAAAACTTTAATAGGTTGATTGAAGCGCCTCTAGTGATTGGAGGGGAAAGCTGAAACGACTAGACTGACGTCTCTCATAAGACTTACATTTCTAAGGGGGGATGTTTTGTGGAAGTAATCGAACAAGAACAGACTATGTTGTCAATGCCTATTTTTTTTCTTATTATTTACCAGAATGTCATGTGTCAATATAGGTACGTAACGAGATGAAAATGTTTATACGTCATGCAACGTCCCGCGCCGTTGCCAACCAAAAACATCTGAAACTCCCCTACTTTAAATGCGTTAAAAAGTACTTTTAGTTTTGTTAGGTTGGCAGCAGAATTTTACTAAATGTGACGTCATCCTAAATATAGCGTAAAAATCCTTTAATTATTGTTTATTTAGTAATCATCTAAATACTATAAATAAAACGTGAAGGAGTTTCGAAAGTAGTTTTCTTGTATACCTCATACAAGAAGTCTGCAACTTGCGAGTCCGAAAAAATACTTTTTTCTGCGATTGACAAGAAATGTCAGCATTTTTGACCGGTTGACAGGTCGCAAAACTCAATATTCTGGTATTTCAATTATATTTCAATAGTTGCTTAGGAATCAATGAATAACAATACGGGAAACACTTTTCCGGCCTAGGCCGGGAAAGTGATTCTCGTATTGCTGAATAATTAGAACTAAAAGACAAACATTTAACAGGTATTCAACCGATCGCAGAAAAAATAGTATGTGTATTTCGGTGGAAAACACATTCTCGGCCTTCGGTGTTTGCCGGCCTCGGCTACGCCTCGCCCGTCAACTTACACCGTCAGCCGAAAATGTGTCACTTTTCCACCTAAATAAACAATATACTATTTTGTATACGCTCCGAAAAATGACTATTTTGCGGACTCGCATTTCAGTACCTACGTGAAATGTTCCATTTTTAGCCTAGTACCTAAAAATCGTCATAGCAATTTTTTCAGTTTAGATATACCTGACGCACCTGCCAAAACAATGCCAATGCACAACCAGTTTAAAATGTTTGATGTTGTTTTTTGTTTTTCTCATTTTGCAATTTTACTTCTTCTGCGATTGACAAGAAATGTCAGCATTTTTGACCCGTTGACAGGTCGCAAAACTCAATCTGGTATTTCAATTATGTTTCAATAGTTGCTAAGGAATCAATGAATAACAATACGGGAAACACTTTTCCGGCATAGGCCGGGAAAGTGATTCTCGTATTGCTGAATAATTGGAACAAAAAGACAAACATTTAACAGGTATTTAACCGATCGCAGAAAAAAAAGTATGTGTATTTCGGTGGAAAAGCACATTCTCTGCCTTCGGTGTTTGCCGGCCTCGGCTACGCCTCGCCCGTCAACTTACACCGTCGGCCGAGAATGTGTCACTTTTCCACCTAAATACACAATATACTATTCTCTATACCTATAGGGATGGCAAAGTAGGCGTTTCTGAGGCTAGCCCTGGAAAACATTGAAAAATGGCTAAGCAAAAAAATTCTTTTCCACTTTTTTTAATAGGGGCACCACCATAATAAATTTAAAAAAATGTTAAAGTTCGTTTTACGAAGGTTTATACTTTTGACAACTTGAAAAAAAAAGGGTTCTCGTTTCTCGTCGATTAATTCATATAACACATTCAATTTTTTTGACAAATTAAAATTAATGATTTCTGGTTTAAGAACCGACAAACGTTTTTGACGTCATTAATTTGATTTGTTGCAGTCAATTTCTATTTGCTGAAAAAGGAAGGCAAATTATATCAAAAGTATAAGACCTCGTGAAACAAAGTCTATAATATATTTTTGCGATTTTGATTAAATTTCAATTCAGTAAAAGCTGTGTTCGTTTTATTTATTATCTACCTAATTAAATTTTAGTATCAGAAGTTATTCATGAACTGAAATTTTTTCTACTGTAGTGGAATTATTTAAATAATGGATTCCCGTCATCAATGACGTCGAAATTATTGCCAATTGCAGTTTCTAATAAATTAAAATTCGTTTTTAACTCAGAGCACATATTTTCTTTTGTTTAACCCTAGAGAGATAGAATCTGCCGATAAAATGGAATTTAGGTTGGAACTCGTGGGTAATGTTGCCAAATGTTGCCTTCTTCAAATTTTCCGTTATTGATTTCAATAATATGAGGTTTATTGTTTTCAGTTTTTAACGAGTCGGGGATTGATGGAATAAGTATAATTTAACTATACTTGCTATAAAATTGTATTAATGGAATATTTTTTTTTTTGGTATTAGCAACGGTATGCATCAAAACATTCTGCCACCCAATCTAGCCATAGCCCAGAAACCTGACCAATCAAATTCGATGTGGCTATTTCGTGTGGCATAATGTTACTACATGCGCTGAATCAGGGGTCAGAATGTCAGGACGATGATGGAGCTATTTGAAAGGTCAGAATGTTATTGCATGGGCTGGATTTAGGATCAGACTGTTACAGGCGATAGAGCATTAGTATTAAATTTAACAAACAATGTTTGATGTTGAAAAATCTATAACTGTCTTTTGTTACGTGTTATACAGGG